GTGGTCAGGCAGTTGGACTAGATGGTCATTGCAGATCCTTTCCAACTGAAATATTCTGTTCTGTTCTGCTCTGTTGTAAATTTTTCTTGTCAGGCACTGTCTTTACAATAAGTGTGATTTGCCCTTGCACTTGTAATTGCTGGGGTTTTTTTGATGATGTGGTTGTTCCTGAGACTTTTTTCCCATGAGGTTGTACCTGTCAGTTCTCTTGTTTTCCTAATAAAAAAGAACTTCATATTTTGCTATTCTTTCATTCCCTTTCATATTCATTCCACTTTGTTTCATGATCCCTGTCAATTTTCCTTCTCGACGGTATATAATGCATTCTCAGCATGATGTAAAAACATCCTGTCAGGCTGACCCTAAGTAAACTGATCTGGCCTCTTCATTATTCCACATTTTTACATATAGCCTAGAAATGCACAAGCAGAATCCATTACACACGTTGCCGTAACTCCCTCTCTGCATGAAGAAACAGCATTGCAAACTATGTGTAAAGCATGTCTTGTTTGAAATAACTCTTGCAAAAGAGGATCACAGACCTTTGGGATGGAAGTTGAAATCAAGCATGTCTTTGAGTTGAAAATGGAGCTATGAACGAACCCAGAAGTTCTCTGGTTTTGCAGAAAAAAAAAGAAAAAAAAATTAAAATAGCTGAGTCTTACCTTTTGAAAAAAAGAACAGAACTGTCCATCCCTCTACGTGCTATTTAATGTCAGCTGTGATGTTTCACCAGTCATAGAATCATAGGATGATTTGGGTTGGAAGGGACCTTTAAAGATCATCTAGTTCCAACCCCCCTGCCATGGGCAGGGACACCCTCCACTAGACCACATTGCCGAAAGCCCCATCCAGCCTGGTCTTAAACACTTCCAGGGATGGGGCATCCACAACCTCTCTGGGCAACCTGTTCCAGTGCCTCACCACTCCCACAGTAAAGAATTTCTTTCTAACATCTAATCTAAATCGACCCTCCTTCAGCTTAAACCCATTACTCCTTGTCCTGTCACTAAGAAGTCTTTGAGTTGTGATCAAGTGGTTTTGCTTTTCAGAAGGTATAGCTCTTCTGTGACAGTAGGTTCTCCTCTCCCTACTTAAAAGTCTTCTGCTGCTTTTACCTCTTTCCCCCGAACACCTTCAGAAGCTAAAAGAATGGGTCAGAAAGTAGGGAATGCATCTTTTCAAAGCAATATTCTATATGTGTGACGTGTTTGCTACCATTTTCTTTCAGGATTTTGAAAGAGTTTTATACCTATTTGTGAAATGACCCACACGTGTTCCGGAAAGTTAAGCAATTACCCCAATTTACAGGTAGAAAGAGCAAAAACAGAGAGGAAAGAGCAATGGCAGCTGAAATCACACCCAAAAGGGTGACAGAGCTGTCTGCAGAACTGTGGCTCTGAGTCATTAATTTATTGTATGACTTTTACCTGAAGCTTTACAGTACGGAGGCTGTCTTGTGCAGTGATTTATTTCTTCCAGAAGTCTTTTCTTCCATTCTTACCCTGGGTGCGTAGTTCCTAGTACTTAGAGATTTGTTGGTTGGTTGTTTTTAAAAGGATTTAACTTGGGTATTTCTAGAAGCATCTCAGTAGTTCATAAAAGGTGAAGGGGAAATTGCTCCCTTGTTGGTAGTAACACTTGTGCAGTGTAGGCAGAATCCTCTCCTAAAGGCCACAAAACATATTCCAGAAGCCCAAATTAGCTTTCCCATCCTGCTCCTGAGTAATAGTTACACGTCGCCGAACAGTCTTGACAGGTACTAATGATCATTAAAAGAGGGGGGGAAAGGCTTTAATTTTCTTTTGTTCCCATGAATTTCTCTAGCTTTAACATATCATTTGGCAATGAAAACCCAACAATTATCATAAAGAGTTATCACACGGGCTCTGGCACCCATTTCCTTGATCAAAAAAATCCTCCTTTTTTTTTTTTTCTTTTCCTTTTCCCACAAGCAAGGGTTTAATGTGACCAGACGTGTGAATTCAGTTGTCCAGTCACTGCGTTTTCCCTCCTTCTCCCATTCAAAATTCCTTGCCCGTTATTCTTTTCCTACTCGGGAATTTTTTGCATGCCCAAATGCTTACGCATACATGGCTTCTTTGAATTTCTCTGACTCAATGCGGTCAAAACCATTGTCCTGGAATTTCACAGAAATGTAGTATGTATATGCTGAAAATATAATGGATCATTTGATGTCACATTCTTCATTTGTGACTAACCAGATGATAACTTCAGTGAGTCTGGCACAAATGAGAGGAAATAAAATAGTCTTTCCAATGGTTTTGCTTGGTTGGGCTTGGAAACTAAATATTGCTGTCACAAATGTCTCTTTCATGAGGTGTTTCTTCATTCCCCATCCAGCAATTGGCCCAAATGTTAAATCTGTGCAGAGAAGTAGTAGGAAAGTTGATTCCTTTGTGACAGTTGATGTATTTTTGGTGACATTAGTGGACCTGTCTGCATTTTGGTCATATCTGCCAAGCTGGCCAGTCCAATCTTGGCACTGGTCTGACAGCAAAACCTTCCCTTTCATCTCTCATTCCTCCCCATACCCAAGTAATCGCACGGGGAGGAGAGACAGGCAGATCAGGCCCTAATCAAATACTACTCTTCTGTTTTGTCTGTAAGTCTCTAGTAAGACTCTATGGCAATTATTCACTAGTAGCTGCTTCCTTCATATAAAACATCTTACTTATTTCTAGAAAACATGAAATGCAAGTGTTCTTCATTCTCTTCATCATCGGAGTTTCTTTCTGGTTCAGTGTGAGAACCCCCCTGCTTTCTACAAGGGCAATGTAACACTCTGCTCTGAAGAACATACCGGTTTGTAAGAAGAGGTTTGCAGTGGAAGGAGGTGGGAGGGCAAGTGGCTTTATTTTTCCATTGCCTAAACCGAAAAAGAGGAACGAAGACCGTGTGGTTTTGTGTTGTAAGTGGAGGCAGCCTGTGCCTTCGCAGTACCCCCTGGGGACTTTTTTTAAAAAAGGATAAGCAGAAGTGATGTTAACATTTTTCTTACAATTTGGTTGGGTGCTCCTGACTGCTTTACTGCAGGGCTGAAACGAGCACCTCTGGCGCTGAGAAGGGACCCGTGCACTTGTCTTCTCCTGAGGTGGAGAGGAAAGAGCCCGTGTGTGAGTGTCTGGGAAGGACCCTGACTGATTTACTGCTGCTTCATTAGCAAATCTAAGAGCTTCTGCGTTCCCCAAACCGTGTGGCTGAGAACGAGGTGTCTGTCACCCACCCATAGACATCCTGGAGAGGTACCTGCGGCGCAGGTTGGACCGTGGGCCTCGCCTGGGAACGACCCATCACCAGAGTCTTACAGGGGAGAGAAAAACGGACAGCTCACAAGAACTGGGTTTATTTTTCTTTTTTCCTAGCTCCTCTGAAACTTTTGGACAGAATATAACAGACACATCAGTTTTATTGCTCTGAGTTTAGAAACTATTGTTTCAGTTTCTTTTTTTCTGAAAAGTAAAATGTTTTTCTTCAGGGGGAAAAAAAAAAAGTTAGTCTGGACATATACTGAAAAAATCATCCCCAGTGCATATTTTAAGGACATTAATCATCTTTAATATGGTTTGGAAATTAATTTGGGCTGCTGAAATACAAATTAAATTTACTTATGATAGTATCTGAGAGCTGGCTGCTGCCAAACACTCCTCGTGTATGAACAGGTACATGTTGCTGTAGAAGAAAATAAAGTTATTTGCTCTGTCTTAGTCATTGTTTCCTGATCGTCCAGGCCTATACTGGGTAAACAGAAAGTTGTTGGGGTTTTTTTAACTCTATCTGCACTGGTCCTTCATCAGTCCTTAAAAGAATGTGTGTATCTTATTTAACTTATTAATTCCTTCTATTTTCTTAGTATTTGGAAAATAAACTGGTTAATAATTTGGGGAAGAGAATATTTTAGTAGAAATCTTAGGAACATTTTAATTAAGATTTTTTTTTTCAGGAAATGTCTCTAATATCTATCTCTAATCCTGCAGCTGTTAATCACCCAAACAATTCTTTTGAAGCTGCTCCTGTAAGTATAGTTTTGCAGGATTGGATCTACACATCAGTTTTCCATGGCAATCACCCTTTCCTTGCTTACTTCTAAAAATTGCTCCAAAGATATTGGCAATGAATAAATGAATGTGGCTTTGCTGATACTTTGAAAGAACAGAGAGCTCAGACCTGCTGATGGTGGTGCATGGTGTTGAAATATCAAAATAGTTGTTTCTTTTGTTACAGATTGCAGAAGGAATGGCATACATAGAAAGAAAAAATTATATCCATCGAGATTTGAGAGCAGCGAATGTTCTGGTTTCAGACTTACTGATGTGCAAAATTGCTGATTTTGGACTAGCAAGAGTCATTGAAGACAACGAATATACAGCAAGGGAAGGTATGTATTTTTATTTTTGTTTTTAAAACTTCAGCCTCTGGGAGGCAGTGAGGCTGTATCTAACAATAATGTGGTCACCAAGGACAGAAAATGCCATAACAACTTCCTAGAGGCAGCCTTCTAATGCCAACAACTTTTAAAAAGAATAAGGAAACAAATAACCTTTCTGTGCTCCCCAGGCTTTTTGAAAAGTTTATTTTATGTAAATTTGAAAACTAAAGAAAATTGAGAGTACTTAACTGCACACAAATTTTTCTAAATTGAACAAATTAATTGCACGCTCACAGCTTCCATCCCACTGAATGAAATGCCAAGAAAATATGATCTTCTTTTCTCTTCACATCCTTAAGTGCCACATTGACCTCCTTTCACTTAGGGAAAGGAAGGAGCCCTAGCAAGTGTAGTTGCCAGTAACAAGAAAACCTTTAGCAGAACTGTTTGTCTTTTGAAGCTGCTTTAGGAGCTGCAGCGTTGATTTGCATGTTCGGCAGCATTGCTGCTGTGTAGGGACACTGGAAGGCTGGGACATGTCCCTGCTCAGCGAACGGGTGGGAGTTAACATCGCAGCAGGGTCAGGACTGGAAAGAGGGGAAATCATGCTGTTAAAGATATTTGTCTGGGTTTTGCCCTGTGTGTTTTGTTAACGTGGTCAAGGATCTTTTCAAGAAGTGCGTAGTCAATTTGTTGTAGTGAAAAGTTTTTATTTGTGCTTCCATGCGCAGATTGCATTAGGGTAACTTTTCGGAGCAGGTTTGTTGGCTGGCTTTCCCCCTCTCGCTTTAAAGACGCTACCTCATGTTTTCACACAGTCTGGATGGAAACTGTGGTAATGTAGGACGAGAGGGGAAGAACTACGGTATGAGGAAGAAAGAGAACAATGCACTACAGTTGAGATTAAAGGAAGACAAGCTATTCAGCACTCACTGGGTAACAGTAATTCAATAGATCAGAGGAATGGGTCTGATTAAGCACTTTTCAGAGGTACAGAACCCATATCTGTGATTTTTAGCTATCTCTGGACATTGTATGTTGATTAAATGAACCTTTCAGGTTATAAATTCTTTATGCCAAGTTTCTTTGATGTGTTTTCTACCATTCAGAAAAGTTTCCTAGCTTACCTGGTATTTTGTACCGGAATGATAGAGCAGGCTATAAAGGACATAGAGAAAATCTGCTTGTATTACTCTGTTGTCTGAAGAGTTAATGTAATGTTCCCCAACAAAGGCAACATTTTATGGGGAACATTATATGTTTCCCTTATTTCACTGGAAGGAGTTTGCTTTTATATGTGATTTTCTGGAATCAGTTTAGTTAGACGTGAAAGACCATATTATAAGATATGACTTTTTAAGATATGACTTGCTACTGCTTTTGCATCTATGGCTGAATGTGAAATGCATTAAAGTGTATGTTGAAGCGAGACTGACCTTCTTTAAAATAGGAAAAGTTAGTTAAAGTCTTGCAAAGTTCCAGGTGATGGGAATTGTAAAATTTTTGCCTAACCACTGAGCAGAAGGGAAAATGGTGACTGCAGTTTTAGCAAAAATTCACCATGTCAAAAGGTGCTGTGTAACTTTTGGCATCTTATTTGCACCTCTGGCAGAGGACGTGCAGTGTGGCAACATGCATCCTGCAGGACAGCTTTGCTGATAACTCTTGGACAGAAGGAGTTGCTGGTAACTTTGCTAATTTAGGAGTAACACAGGCAAGTTGTTTAAGACATTTTAGTGACTTGATATTGACTGTACTATTTTTTAGGTGCAAAATTCCCTATTAAATGGACAGCACCGGAGGCAATTAACTATGGATCTTTCACTATTAAATCTGATGTGTGGTCATTTGGGATTCTCCTGTATGAAATCGTTACATATGGAAAGATTCCTTATCCAGGTATGGGCCTGTGTTTATACCATTACTCTGTATTTATACTTTGTTGTTAAATGGGAAAGAGCTGGCATCTGACAGCAGCAACAGCAGCGATTTGGAAAATGTCTTGCAGGCAATGTTGTTGCTTTGAAAACTTATAATCACCGTATGTGTAAACCACGTGCCTCTCTGGTGTAAATTTTAGCAGACAGACCAATGGCACCATGAACACGTAGTCATTTTTATATATTCAAAAGGTTTTACAATGGCAGCAAGTGCCGCATTGTCACAGATCCCAGCTTTACGGTCAGCAGCACAGTCCCACAGCAAGGGTGCAGCGCTACAGGTTCTAATGGTGCTGTGTAAGCTTCAGGGGGGGTTAATATCGTAATATGTGAAAGTACTAAGAAAGCATGTTTTCATAAGCAAATAGGCTGTAATAATTTGTCAATGTTAGCTAATCTAAACAAATACGAAAGTAGATCCTAAAGCAGTGTTGGTGTACTGCTAGGATTATTTACTCTTCGCTGTTCCGTACAGTTCAGGTACAAGACCACAGAGGAGTACATCAATCGTGGCTGCATTAGGTAGCTGTGAAATGGTTACGTGCTTCATGTTTCTTTTTTCTTTCTGTTAAACAAAGTACGTATTAATGTTTCCAGCACACAGAGGCAGCTTATATGAAGAATATGTTTACGCACACAAAATCGTCACATCTCGGGCATAGCTGATTAACTCCAGGCAACAGACTGCATTCATTTAAGCTTACTGAGGTTATGGAAAATTGACCTAAATTCTCTTATCTTGTGGGCAAATGGGGAAAGTACAGCCATGTTCACCTATACTACGCATCTCATAGATGGAGTAACTTCTGAGGAGAACCTTTAGGATCCTGCCGTTTACAGGCAGCAAAGGGAGAGCAGACATTTCATCCAAGCAAAGCTTCCCCAGCACTTCCAGTGCCGCAGCTCTTGCTGTTTAAACAGTGAAAACATTTTCATCACCACTTTGTGTGCAGCTGGAATTCCCCAGTAGACCCAAGTCCCTGCAATGATGGCAGGCTCCACACCACTGGGTACAGGGAGACCGGACCTCCTGGGAGAATTGGGCAGCACGGAAGGGGTGATGGTGGCCAACTTTACACTATGTTATAGAAGTACATATCAACTTTCCATACAAGAGGTAGAGCCAAACCAGACATTCTCATTGCTCGGTAAGGCTCCAGTCCAGGAAAGCACTTAAGCCCTAGAGTAGCCCCCTTAAACTTCAAGAGGTGATAGGGCTGCTTGCACAGCTAAGTGTTTAAACATATGCTCCAGGTTCGTTTTTAGGTAAGGGCTGTAAAATATGTGACTGAGTAGCAAGTCCTCCTAAAGCTATTCTAAACACTGCTCGTGTCCCCAAGAAATATCAGATGGGAGTTATATGCAGCCAAGTAATGCATGGTTCTTCCCATAGTCAGGATACTTTTTTTTTTTTTTTTTTTTCCCCCCCCCTGTTACCACATGCCTCTGTATCCAGACAGTTGCCTACGCTGAGATGGCCTCAAAAGGTTATTCCTGGATACCTTGAAAATTGTCCTTCCCTGAGCAAACCTACAAGCTCACCTGGAAACCAGCACTTGTTCTGCAGCTAAGTCTGCTCACTGTAGTGAATTGTACTAGTGTGAGAAACATCTCTCCTAGGGAAAGTCTGGGCAAATATTTTTTTTTTAAAACATATGAGAGCATTTTTATGAGCACCATAGATTTGTTTGTCAACCAACAGTTAGAAGCAGAAGCCTCTTGTCTGCATACTATAGGATTTTAGTAGTTTGCAGGCATTACTTGAGTTACACTGGAAGAGGATATATGTCTATTTTAAATAGAAGTATAAATTGAAATAGCCTATTAGACTGAAAGTTGCTACTGAAGCACCAGAAGGATAGCAAAATAAATGGGTGACCAAGTTACATGAAGGGCTGTGACAGATTTGAGCATTACCCCAGCATGGCAAGAGTAACCTGGTGAGAGGTTGTAACCAGCAGCCACTGCAGAGAAACAGTAAATTGATTTTTCAGTTCTGCTTCAAAATATTCTTTTCAATTATTAACCAGCTCCAGCAGCTAAAGAGCAGTCAGCATAAAGCTGCATGTGAAACAGTTTGAGTTGAAACTGGCAAGTACTTAATACCTGTGAAGAAAATCTAGGCAGACAATCTGGTAGGAAGCATTTCCAGCCAAGAAACTTGGAGCTTTTGTGATCTTTGTTCTTAAATTCCAACAGCTGTTTCTCTTCCTGAGAAAATCAAAGCAATTAGTGGGACTATAGTTTCAGGAACTACCTCTGAAATATGAAACAAGTATTTGAATCTCTGGGCAAGTAAGTTGAATTGGTTGTTAAAACTAATTTCCAGATGATTACATAGTATGTCAAATACTGGCAACATCCATACTTGCATTCCAGTTATGTCAGCTGCTCTTCACAAGATATGCCACTTTCTGTACGGTGGATTCTTCCTCCATACCACTGTGTTCACATCATTTCCCAGGCTCTAATGTAAGGAAATATGTCTTTGTCTGTGAAGCTTAACAGGTACCACAGCGTGAATTAACAGACCTTTAGAGCTAATGTCCTTTGCTAGCATTTAAGAGGGTGTAAGTGTAACAAATGTGCATATGGGATATATTTCTGTGACTGATCAGGATGTAGATTTGATGAGACAGGTAATTCTCTAGCCACAAAATCCTAAAAAAAAAAAAGAGGAAAAGTTTAACAAGTAGCTATTTTGAGAATACTACTTGGACTGTGGGGAAGTCAGGTAAGATTTTTTGTTTTAAATAACACCCCAAACATATGCAAATATGCTCATGACATATTTACTATGAAATACTGAGACAAGTCGTTTCATTTTTTGTCTTGTGAACTTAGATGGTTATTTTAACAGCTGGTTTGCCTGCAGGTTAGCTGAACCCCAGGCTTTGTCCTTGGCATTCAGAATCTAACAGTCAGTCCTGCAGACATTAGATCTAAGCACAATCTAGAGTACTTGCGCCCACAGAATCAGCCCCGTTCTGCACAGAAGCCCAGTAGCAGCAGTCCTCATGTGGCAGCCCACAGTTAATTAAGACTTTGCACAATATGAATAACTATTTTACTGTGTACATTATATACGATCTATTTCTTTAAGCTCAAGCAGTCAGATTGCTGTTGTCTATAAAGTGCTTTATTGGCTTTCTTCCTATGTTTATTTTGTCTTTATATAGCAGTGATTCCTTAGTCTGTGACAACAGGCCATTCCACTGCTACCTTAAAAATGCTGTCTTTCTACACACACGTGCAGTATCAGCTCAGGAAAACTTCACTCCTCCTTCCAAAGTGGAACTGGAAATACAAAAGATGTGCTCACAGTAAGCACTCTGAGCCAGGTGTCATGGCTGACAGTATTTTTTAGAATAGGTTAAAGCCAAAAGGCTTGAACTGACGTTGGCTCTATGAACTATAGTCATCTGGAATAGTCAAAGTAGTTATACCAGATAAAGCTGTCATTTGGTTGTAATGCAAATGTGTCTTTACCTGCCAAGTGGCTTAAATAAATCATAGCTTTAATTGGCAGATAGCACGTACAAAGATCTGCACAGTCTGCAGCGACAGAGCTGCACGGTCACCAGGCACTCGAGGGAGCACCACTTCTGCACCTCCACTGCCGCCCTTGCTCAGGACCCATCCCGCCCCATCTCAGCAGAGCGTAGCTGCTCTCCCCACACCGCTGGGGACCTGGCATAAGCAGGAGCAAGGTCACACATGCACCTAACTGAAGGCCAAGGTGCCTGAGAAAAACCACGAGAAACCACAGTCTTAGGCAGAACTGTGCCACATGGAGGAGTGACCAGCAGCTGTGGGGTCTGGAATACCCTTCTCAATAGAGGGAAGCTCTTCACTGGTGGTGGCAAACATCTAGGCTGACACACAGGGGCTTCCTGCATGCCCAGTCATCAGAAGAAATGGAGTACAGTAAGTTTAGAGTGTGTGTCCTGGAGAAGGCACAGTACTTGGCTGGATTGCATAAGATTTGCAGGGGAAGGGACAAGCTGAAAGGCAGGTTTCTGGGCAGGAAGTGGTGAGCCTTTTTGTTGGCCCTGCCATAGCTGACCTTCAGAGAGCAGATGTCGAAATTGTTCTGTGAACCATTCTCTCAAGGATTTAAAAAAAGGAGGAAGTCAGGGCGGGGGGGATGAAACAGAGAGGAGGAGGAGGATGGAATCCAGGGCAGGCCTCTCATGTGACATTAGTTGGTGTGAGAGGCTCAGGATGCACTTCTGGTAGTTAGAGTTCTTATCCCCCATAACAGGGAACCAAGGCAAAGCTCTGCACAGCTGGCAAGATGGTTTTGCACAAAAGGCATAGGATGAGGAAGAAGGGAAGGGAAATTGCCTGTTACAAGTAATGGTATGATGAGTGACCATGTTCAGCATCTTGCAGTCGGCAGCACTTACACAAAAGCTGATGTAGAAGAAAAACTGAAAGTGTGTTATTACATTTGGCTGGGTGACTGGCAGCATGGTCAAACATATAGGCTGCTCTCTGCCTCAGTATGGAGGGGGTCTACAGCAAGCAGGTAAGAAGCTCTGCAGCTGTAGACAAAGGCTGATGCCAGGGTGGGCTTTTGCTGTGAATCTTACCACCTCTGGAAGAAGAACAAAGGGTGGCAGGACCGGTCAGAGGAGAACAGATCTGGTTCTGGAGACGAGCATTTTGATTTCTCCCACAGTCTTTAATAATAAAGTAATAGCTTTGTGTTATTGGGTGAAGAGCTTTAGAGTGAAGTAAATCAAAAAGAAAAAAATAATTTCTTTAGGAATTGAGATCATTTGATCAAACTTTCTTTTTCTCTTTGCAGGTATGAGCAATTCAGATGTGATGGTGGCTCTTCAGCGCGGGTACCGAATGCCACGTATGGAAACCTGTCCAGCTGAGCTTTATGATATTATGAAAACATGCTGGAAAGACAAAGCAGAAGAGAGGCCAACATTTGATTATCTACAGAGTGTGCTTGATGACTTCTACACAGCAACAGAGGGGCAGTATCAACAACAGCCATAGAACAAAGAACAGTTTTTTTCTATTGACATGGATCATTGACACAGACAATTATCTGGACAGACTGCTCAAACCAATTACTCCATGAGTTTGGACATCTTAACTGAGTGGCAAAGTTGAAATGCTGAAGGAAAGAGTACTACTGCAGAGAAATAATCATGTTGTTCTTTGGTTAAAACAGTTCCTCTAAAGATTGAAGTTCTCCTTAAATGCTATGTTTTGCATCTGCAGAAACATCCCAAACCAAGCAGGCTTTTTGGGGTGGGGAGGAGGGAGAAGGAAGAAAAGCAATCATGCACCGGTACTGTTTGACAACACTTTCTTAAAATTTAAGTCATGGAATACATTACAATGAGACCTTTATAAAAGGGGCAAGAAGATACATGAACAGCTGCTTTCAAAAGAAAAAGTCATGAAGGAAAACTTACAGATTTAAGACATAGTGATGGTCTTATATGATCTTTTTGATATAAAACATATTGTGAAAAGTATTTTTATATCCATGTTATTTCACATTAGTAGTTGGAGTACTGTCACCTCTTGTAAGACTCTCTAGACGGTGTCATGGTTTCCTTTAAGGAAGGTTATGTATGTAATTCTTTACACTGAAGATGATTCTGTTTTACTGCTGTATTACTCAGATGTAAAATAATTTTCAAAGCATCACCCAGCCATCACAGATGCAGAAGTGCAATAGGACCACACACAACGGCAGAAGTGGCAGTACACCTAGCTCTGTATTTCAACCTTCGCTTTCCCCACAAGGCCAAAGTCATCATCTGAAGTCCCTGGGAAAGCACAGGATTTTGAAGGAAGTTAATGCTTTCATTGGAGTCACTGAGACTGGTAGCAGTGAAAATATTTTAATCTCAATTTTTAATCCTTTGTGATTATTCAAGAATATTCCTTATATTTTTGCTGCTTTAATAAACTAACCTCAAATCTGTTTTAAAGCTGAAACTAGCTCTAGCACTATCAAAAACAATTTGTGGAAATATGCAATAGGATATCAAGTTACATTGCAGTGACACTAGAGGTTTGTTGCTCAGTATATAAATCTAATTCATAAAAGTCATGCATTTTGCTAAGATCTACATATTGAATTGTTCTATCAAGTTACTTACCAAAACAGCTGAGCTAGTACAATTGCAATGTAACTACAGCATAGATTACTTTTTTCCTCCTTCAAAGTGACACTGGTTCATACAGCTGAAACCCAGTACATCTTTGCCACCCCTCAAACCAATTATTTAGGCAAATGGTACTTTGTAGAAGCTAAAAACCCTTTTGATAAAGCTTCAGTGTGCCTGCAGTTGAAGTTCAGCAGCATAAATATTAATTGCTTTTCCTTTCCATTGGCTTCCTTCAGTCAAACTGTGCAGTTTAAGCAGACTATCAGTTAAATATGTAAATAGTTTCTATTGTATGGTGATTTTTAATTTTAATAAACACTTAATCTGAAGCAAGTTGTATGGTAGTAATTTGAGATAAAATAAATGGCTGATATGCTATCCAGAGTGGTAGCTTCATGTAGAACAGAGGAACATCTGTTCATCATCACTAACAAGATTATTTTGCAACAGTAAATATTCATGGATTCTGCTTTCCTTATACCCATTGAGCTTTGAGAAGCTGAAAAGGACTGAACTAGCCGTCTCTGCATCCTTGTTAGAGCTTATTTTTCGTCTGGAGGGCAGGAAGGTAAGTCAGTTCTCAGCAGTCCTTTAAAATAGCTTCTCAGAAGTCTTTAATGTGATAGCAATGCAGTCGATTGCAACTCTTTGGAAAACATTACGGTTAATAATTGGTCAGTACTTCACTACAGGCTTCATTTTATTTTAAGGAAAAAAAATAGCTTCAGATAATGTAACCTTGTCTTTTAAACCATTTCCTGTAGCTGGCCAAAGAGCTCTGGGAAGTAGGCAGAAACATGGAAACTGCAGTTGCTCAGGGAATAAGAGGTTATAGTTGGTGTTACACAAACTTGCTAACATACACTCTCAGACAAGTGACAGATTGTCAAGGTGCAGCACTAGATCATTTTAAATGCTCTTATAGAAAGTTTCCAGTATTGCCCTGTATTAAGGATTATTTTTTTTAACTTCTGTTTCAATATTGCTGTTCTTAGAGCAATTTGTATGCAACAGCTTTCTGGTTCAAGAAATCAACACTCAGTCTATTGTGTCACTACATGAAAATATTTTTTAATAGCTGGAACAGTTTGTGTGGGAGTAGAATAATATTTTAGAAATTTGACCCTGGAGGGCTTATAGGCCTTTAGAATTACAAGAGCCAGATAACCTATATTTAACAGAAACAGTTCAAAACATGAGAACAGCATGAGCTCAAGTGCTACAACTCCAGCCAGGTGAAGACACATCACAGTGATTATTTATTACTGCATTGCACAGACCAACCCAAAACTCAAAAGACTTGGCAAGAACAGGTCACGCCAGAGAAGGGCTGTTCTGTGTCACACAAGAAGGCTGCACCACCTAGCGTCTCCACAGCAAGGGAGAGGTTCTTGCTCTGAACTGGGTCCCCTCCCACTATGAAAAACACCATTACAGGGACAGATCAATGATCCAATTTATTTATGGATTCTGCCTTGTTCTAAAGCAATCCTCCAGCACTTACATGCATGGTATTTTCACAGTAGTTAGGAAAAATTCTCACCCTCACTAACTAAAATGGCTCTACAAAAGCTATTTCAAATTTTATCATGCTCCAATTTTCCTTCCTTGAGTTACTAGATAAAGGTAAGTAATATAATCAGGGCTATAATTCTTTCAACTCCAGATCATCATATGTCAATCACTATGATCATTTGGCCTCTAAATTTAGGATCTTTCCTTATCTTTATTTCACTGCTTTTCTCACCTGTACAAAATGAACAGTCAGAGCTTAATTTAGCAATGGAAAATTTTATTATAAATAGGTTTTTCAAAGTTTAATGCATATTCCTAGTGGAAATTCAAATGACATTAAAACAAATGCCTTTACAAAGCCAAAATAACTGATAAAGAGCAAGGAACCAGATAAGACCTCATTTTGTTGCCTCTATGAGTCTTTATGTTTAGTAATTTGCTCAGTTTGGTCCCAAGATGGCACTTTCCACATCAAAACCAGAATGTTCAGCTGAAGAACCATGCTATTTTAACTACTCGAGATTAAGCTTACAAGCCATCTGGTTTCTAGGAATCAACAATGAAAATTAAATACTCTAATTTAAAAAGGTAACAAGAGCAGCAGATGAGGAACATCCTACTTTGCATGAATCACACCTTTATCAGTATAGAAGACCATGATAGCGGTTACTCAAGAATTAAAATTATAAATATATCTATCTCAAATCCCATCCCCATACCAACAGTAAAAGCACAAGTTTAGGTCTATACTTACATAGTTCTAAATTCAACCCTGATTCAATTTAAAGAGTATTAAACATTTTTCTGTCAGTTAATGTGACAGTGAAGATGGCACCTAAGAGTGAGAAAAAGCTATCAACACTAAAATCAATAAAGAAGCCCAGTAATTGCACACTTTGATTAATCAAATATTATTCTTTTGCTTTGAGTCAACAGTACTTGTTTTCTTGAAGAGGATGAAGCATCTTCATACTTGCCCCAGCCTTTACCAAGAGGTGTACTAGCAGTGGCTGCTACCGTGGATTTCAGGTTAGCCAACAAACCTCTCCTGGGTTTTTGTTGTTTTGGCTCCTCTATCGAGAAATGCTTTTTCCGTTCGTCAAGTTCTTTTTGCAGGGAAGACACTGTTTCTTCAAGCTCAAGAACACGTTTAGCCCAGTTCTGAAGACTATTCATTTCTTGATCCTATGAGGATAAGGCTGTGTTAGGTATGTGAACACTCCGAAGTCTTTTTCACATAGCTAATTTTCTGTTTCAGATTATTTCATTATACCAGTGAACACCCCTAGAATTACTATGCCAGATGAGTACTGAATAACCATTTCTTCTGAATTACTTCTATGTAATTTTAGAGAACAGCAAACTACAGGGCCATCAGATCTAGTTAGAAACTAAGTTTGACTGAAGAAGCTCATGCTAAAATGCTTAGCCACATTATGCAAAGAATTGCTGTTGTTCTAGGAACCAAATAAAGAAGGCTTTCCTGTTTTAAGCTGCAATTACTGAAAGCAAAACTGGTCAAATCAAAACTCTAATCATAGTCTTAAGTCTGCTAACCAGGACTGAATAAACGCTTTGAGTGGGCAGAATAGAGTCTTAAAGATGCTCTCTAATCCTTGTGGTTAACAAAAAGTCACCTTTCTATGTCTTTTAGAACTAATTAAGAAACAAAGTTCAAGATTAATAATTTTCAGTCTCAGGCTTAGACTAAAAAGCATGCAGAAGGTAATTTAATATTCAAAGAAAAACATTCCTAAGCAGTCTTATACCTGCCTCACTTCATTTGCAGATTACAAATGAGGCATAGATGCAAAGGATCAAGAGTTCAAAACTTTCATGTTTTTTATTTAGGAATCTAGTTGATGTCTGAGATGCTGTCAACTCTATGAAGTCCCTGCTTTTGAAGGAAAGACTTCTTCTATTTCAGTATTAAGTAGTTTACCTGCCCATATCTCTTATCCAGCATGGCCACCTCTGCAGGAGTGTCAGTATAGCTTTAAAGCCATAGATCCTTAGGTCTTGCTGCACTAACATTTGTGCACTGACAGCTTGCCTGCCCTCAGCAAAATACTTCATGACTAGAGTTTGAGTAGTATTTTCTTTGCTTGACAATAATTTGTGGCATCTTTAGATTAAGAAGAGTTGTAAGACAAGACTTGGTCAATAAGGTAACTTTGTGCTGACAAGATACAAAATCGAGGAGGGAAGCACAAAGGCTCTGAGCTCATAACTCAGGAAGTCAGGGATGGAAAAAATGAAAGCAGAAAACCAACTTAAGTGAAAACATTATGCTAACGTAAAAAAATTAGTAAGACTGAACGGTGTTTTTACACGTACAAAGACACAGAAACATCCAGTACCACCTATAGATACAAGCCATATTAAAGTTGCTTTTAAATTGTTGACAAACCTTGAGCATGATTGTATGCTTCAGTCGACTGTTCTCTTCTGCCATTTTTCTGTAGCCTTCATTAGCTTCTAGCAGGGTTTCATTTAATTTCTGTATTTTAAGCTTCAGAGATTTTATAAGCTGAAAATAAAACCCATACACACTGATGTTCAAGACAGCATGTTTTACATGAATTCTGCTTATAACTAGAACTCATACAGACACTGTAAGAATTTCTGAACATTGTGAACTGCAAGATCAAAGCAATGAAGACAAAGCCTGCTTCTCTCAACCTCTTGTGTCCCAACTCATCCCTTCTAGTGATAAAATACAGCTGAAGTATTCAAGGGCTATTGTGCTGAAGCTGCTAGATTTACAATCAAAGAACAGCAGCACAGACTAAGCTACTTCTGGAACAGTCTGCTCCTTTTCAGTAAGGGTAGTTAAAAAGAATGCTCTTGTCTCATTATATTCATTCATATAATGAATTGGAGCACAGTTACAACAGAAGACCTCACCTTTCTGATGGGAATATTGATGGATTAAGTCCTGAGAGGGAAAAGGAACTCTGAACCAGAAAAATTAATGTTATATCATTAATTTACTTCTACAAGGTTGGAGGGAAGAATACCTAGATTGCCAATAAAACCTTTGCCCGTGTTTAATGGCTGAATGGGAGGAAAGAAAAAAAAAGTAGTGAATTACTCATCACACATGCACAGATATGTCAGGCAAAGCAGCAGAAAGGCACTGATGGAACCATCTGTTTTAAACTGCTCTCACTTCAGTTATTACCAGGCAGCAGTCCCATCATTCTAACACTTTCTAGCCACACAAAACAATTAATGCCATATCCCAATATCAAACATAAAAGCCAAACTTTCTTTCTAGCATCAAAATTCATAATTGACATAGGAAATGGAAAAATGATGTAGAGCTCTCAAGAACAGGAGTGGAAAACAAATGCCAGGGCCATAACATGAGACATTAAACCTGGTAAGGAAAAAGTTATTTTTGGAGTACACTTTCTCAATAGAATGGGATTTAAATTCACTTTCCATTTACATGGCTTATTAGAACCAGCAGGAACTATTTCTCCAACCCCTACTCCAATTTGTTATTAGTGAAAGGAGCAAGGCTTGTCTCTTCCCTTCTTCCCATCCTCTTCAAATGTGAGACTAACCAGAACCTTACAAGATGGTCATTCAAGGTATAGACTAAAAATGTATACCTAAAAATAATTAATAATTGTTTTCCATAGCACAGCGAGAAGCTCATAATTTCTACCTCTATATGCTATTCAGAACACAGGGATCTTGTTTGTTTGAAGAACAGAAACATTCCCCTTTATGTTAAGGGGAAGAGTGGAGTTCAGTACTTATGGAAAGGACTGGTTTAAGGTATTGTTTTGGCTCTTCTAGATCTGAACTGTTACCAGATTCTGTAACTGTTCCCCTATGCATGAGCAGGCAGCATTCCAGGAAGGAAAGCACTGAGGCAGCAATGTTTACAATAAATTCTAATACAAGGTTATATACTTCCCTACTTCCAACTTGCATTATGGTCACTATGTGACTTGTTATAGTAGTAGATGCCTTTACAAACTAAAGCCAAGCCAGAATACAGCCAGTCTCTGGCAAAAGTAATCCACAATTGGGCAAGGGTTTTTTTGTAAACTTGATGCCAATTTGCAGGAATCTCCATGCTTTTGTCTACAGTCCAGATTTTTAAGCACTGAACCATGCCAGGACTGTTACCCCCAGATTTGTTAAATACTAAGCAAGAGCTACCTCTTCTTTCTCTTTGCATTGTTTCTGCAATCCTTCGTTGGCTTTCTTCATTGTCTTGTTCATAAGATCTGTAGGCAAAAGAGAAGTTTGCTTGTTTATACCCAATGCCAAAAATAAATTGAACTTCGAATATCCAGATTAGATTTCTACCTAGTTCCATGTTATTTTCAGTAGTCAGTATATCTGAATTCGGACTTCCCAGAGCCAACAGCCTCCCTGACTGTTCATCAAGTTGCCTTTCCAATTGCAGTATTTTCCTCTCTCTATCCTGAAAAAAGAAGGGCACATGGTAGAATTGGTATGAATATCTGCTTAACCTGATGCACTACTGCATGTCCTCCAATTATACTACATATGTATATGCAGTTTTAAAATAATTTCAGGTGGAAGTTGTGATGGTTATGGTTGACAAATCACAGTAAGGAGTAACACTCAGATCAAGATCTTCTTCCTAAGTTATTATACACAGGAGTCCACTCTCCAAGCCTGAAGATTGCTGAACTGTATTAAAACTAACCATACAGCAGAAAGGAAACTTTAGTGCATCTGTGTTAAACACTGTTGCCAGTTTGCTTGCTAAATAAGCAAGAACATATTTCATAAAACTAAATTTTAATTTCAATCTCTTTTTCAGTACATGTCAGATTGCTAGTGCAGTATTTCAGAGGGACAAATCAAACAAGTGTCACCATCAAGTTATTCACCTAATTCTGGTTCTCTGAAGCTGCCCACTCAGATTTCATATTGTGCTCTCCTTCGTCAATTAAGAATTTTACATCTTAGGAATTTCATCAGTTTCTTATCTGACTTGCTACCAAGATCCATCTTGTTTTTTGATTCTTCCCTTATGCAGCCTTGTGGACAGTGTAAGAGGAAGCTATAAATACGGAGAGCACTGTTAAAACTTTTCCTCCATCCCAATGTGGTGTATAGCTAGGGCTTAAGTGAACATAAACGCAGAGTTTTAAGTGGGGAAAAATAAAAGTGTGAAGGAGCTGGAAAACAGACCATTACACAATACAGTGTTGCTTGCCAGCACCTGAATGGAGAGCTGTAAAAGCAGTAATGTTTATATATCACAATCTACAACAGAAACCCACTTCCATCACGTCTTGAAAGGAATTCACCTACCAGTGGAGTGCAATGTTTTATTGGTTCCTGACAGAAGAGTGCAGCAAGAAAGGCCCAGTGGTGTACACAGCAGTTGTTCTAATCTTCCACTGCAGACCTTCTGAAAAGGCTGAGACCTGCAGGTCTCATCTGTTGCCAGGACACACTTAGCTACCTTAGCTACGCAGAGGCTAGAGGTAAAGACTGACAGTTGCACATAGCTAATGTGGCTGAGTTGCAAGAGGAATAGGAACTTAGAGATGCCAACTCTAAGCAGTTCTAGGTATAAGTACATTCAGGAGATTAAGTTCTCTCCTGCATAAAGTTTGCTTTCTCATCAGTTTCTTATCCCACAATCCCTCCCTCTAGACCTTCAGAGCAGCAATCTATTATAATCAAAACAGCTACCCTGTACCGAATTCCCCACCAGGCCTTTCAGACAAGCTTTTTACCCTACATCCTACAACCCCAAGGATCTTCACAAAGCCAGACTGCTGTCTACACCATCCCTCTAGGTGTTGCAATCATCGCACTACAGAGATAAAGATGCCTTGGACTTAATTGAACTGTGCCCTCAGAGATCAGGAAGGTTAGGTATACACTACAGGCAGTGTTAGAAGACATCTCTTTCCTTATGGTTAGCATTGGACACCAGAACAGCTAGGCTGAACTGCTAATTATTTTGACTGTTCAGTGCTACATTTAGGATTCCTAAATGATTCTGTTATGGAAAAGCAAAATTTACCATCAAAAGGCTAGCAAAAGTGTTTTAACAGCAGTCAGGTCATACCTCAACTTTCTCTTGTTCAGCTAGAAATTCTTCTATGGGAACATAATGGTCTTCGATTTGTTCCATTGCACACATATATGCATGTTTCTTGATGGCCTCTTTATACATTTCAAATTTGCTCTCCAGTTTTTCTTCATAACTGTCTTTCATATCTTCCAAGCGGTTGCTGAGTAGACCATGTTAGTTTTATTTAATACATTAGTATTCCAGCTATTACAATTTGACTACTTGTGTTCAACTGGCAATATCAAAGTTATCCATCTAACAATAAATTGTGAAGTTAGAGACCAAGAAGTACTGTTCTCCCGTTACTCCTTTTTATTCTCAGTGACCCTACAGACTTGCACCAAGACATAACTTCTACTTGGCATATACTGTATAGAAGAACACATACTTAAGATCTGTCAGAAAAAAGTTCTATTAAAAAAATCCACCAAAATGTAGTAATAGATATTACTACACCCAATTAGACCTGATATTTGAAGCATATTTCCAGGAGGTGTCTTTCACATTGTTGGTTTGGGGGTTTTGTTTATTTTTTCCCCATTAAATATATATGCCAAATTCACTTTGTCTTATTATTTCAATACATTACACATTATTCTTGTCACAGTTTAAAAAATGCCCCAGTGACACAGAATATCACCTCAAAAGAGAAGAAGCATCACTGCTATTTCATGTGTTTGGTCAATGGTACCCAAACAATTTTAAAATCAGTGCAGGTATTAAACCATACTATGTTCAGCTAGCAACTTAACTTGGGGTTAGTCTCTTAGTAATTCAAATAGCAGGAAACTGGTTTGAAGAAGGGAAGAGTTAAGAGGAAGTGAATTCAGCTTGAGCAATCTGGACAGACTTGAAAAAATCCCCAAATTAGTAACATCAGTGCAGGCAACTACAGTAATTTATAAAATAGTACACCGACAAAGGTCATAAGTCATTCAGGAGCAAGAATCCATAAGGAGAGCTCAAAGAGATACAATTCAAACTACCTTAAGCACATGCATGCAAATGCAAGTTTTGGAATAATTACAAGCCTCAGTGGGGTACCTGTAACAGTCTTCCACATCTGCTAAATACTAATAACGAGTCAAGACAATCTCTAGTAATTACAAATTAAACAGAAAAGTTCAACAGAAAGCAGCATTACTTTTTCCTTCTACACAGGAAGAGGCTGATCTGTACAAGTTTATTTTAATGTTTCTTCTTCCCTTTTCATCAAAAGCTTTGAAACTGTCCAGCCCTAACTTCTCTAAATAACAGAAGTATACATGTCTTGCATATACATGCATATGTATGTATATAGATAAGTGTATGCATTTATACATGTGGAATCCTTTCAGTCTTGAAGAGGACTGCAATATGACTTGCCTCCAGGCTTCCTCTGTTTCCAACAGCTGTCGGAACATTGCTTCTGCCATCTCTCTACGTATCTTCACCTCCAGAAGGAGTTTACTTTGCCTTTCTGCAACTAGTTTCTCCTTTAGGTTCTCTGTAGTTTTCAAGAGATCCTAAATTTGACACATTTCAGTTCAGAAAACAAGCTAGAAACACATATTGATATGCATGTCAAATGAAATATTGATACAGACAGCCATCCACAGAGGGCATTTCTACAAGCCTGTATTTTCAGGGGGACTGCATCAAGGGTCAAATATTTTCAAACATGGATTTCTACTGCAAAGACAACCTTTTTTCCATCATGATGGTTTCTGCTATCAAAAAGTCTACTACTGTTTTGGCATTTAAATATTAATTTGTACAAACATTTAGCATAAAGCCTACTTGATTGTTACAGTTTACTGCTATTAGATTGTATAGCTTTGTTTTTAAAATGCTGCATCTTAACTTGTTCCTGCTTTTCCCAATAAAGCACAAATGACTAAATGTTGTTTTAATCCTACATATTGCTTCCTTACTCTTCTCATTGAGCAATCAGTTGAATTCCAAATTTAGCACTTGATCTAACTAGAAAGCCGCAGGCAGCCTTCCACAACTACACTTGTTCCCTCAGAACTAGACCACTTTAAGTTTAGGTCTGTCTGCCACTGAGCAGAAGTTTACAGTTCTCATTTGATACAGCTTCCAGCACATCTCTTATGGTAAAAGATTCTAATATTAGAAATAATAGCTATGGCTTTATTGCGTACACTTTTGAGATGTTCATCTACCTCATGACTCAGAATGGTGATGTCCACTTCCTCTTCTGCGGAGGTTTCAGTACTGTCAGGAAAGTCATCTACAGATGTGTTAGCATCAAAATGCATAATAGGTTTGCCGTTGCCTCCAACTAGCTTGGGTTGAAAATAACCAAAACTTTTGGGTAGAATTGTCTGGATTACCTGGAAAATCCAGAGTTGAACACACCAATTTATCAATGTCAATATTGCAGATATCAGAATACTAGGAAGAAGTGGCATGAATGCATTGTTGTAATTACACTATATTTAATGATTACTAGAACCTTAAAATTTTACATGCCTTTTAGCAGACAAAAACATCTATCAATACAAATATAAGACTTCACTACTCTAACAAAGGGAAAGTGGGAAAGATTATCTACTGACAAACTAGAAAGGGTTTTTCTCTCCCCCTAAATATAAGGTTTTGGTGTAGTTTCCTGGACAGTTAATGAAAAGCAGCAAACCTCTAAAACATTTGCTCCTTCCTGAAATACTGTGACCAGGATTCAGCAATCCATGCTAGTTATGTAAAGATTTTAAGTACGTATGTCATAGGACAACATATCAGAGAAGCTTGTCTCCTCAGTGCACGCTCTTATCTTATCTTAAACGATTAGAAAAATCTTTCTCTCTGAGATCGTATTAGACATGCCATTACAGATTTGGAACATATCAGAACTAACCCATAGTTCCAGACTCAAAATAGACTTTATTTCCGCCATGAAACACAGTACAGCCCACCCTCTCAGTCCCTGCAAGAAGCAGCTTCAAGGGAAGCTGAACAAACATAAGACAAAACATCAACCCCAAGTCCTGAATTTAATGGGAGGCTGACAAGCAGAGCTAGCAAAAAGCATGAGAACATGTAGATTTACCAGAAGGCTTTTTGCCTTCAAAGGAGAGGAGCACACTACCTTCAAGCCTTAACTTACAAAAAAGTCTTTCCTTTTTGTTTGTTATCAATTGCTTGCACTTAGCCAAATAGGAGCAATGCAGGTACAAGAGATCTCATTCAGACTATAAAATAAGAGGCTAGTTCTTTTACTACCACTGCTTGCTGTCTAAGAAGTTTTAAACAATTGTCATCTTGTGCAACAGATCTTTAACCCGTGTGCAGTTAAGTAATTCATTAAAAGCTTGAATCTAAATCTTGCATTTGCTCACATATATTGTATAACCAGTCATATCTGAAAGTGCCCCGACAACTTTTTTTTTTTTAAAACACAGAATGTTTGTGGTACAGAACTGAACAAGCCAGAGGCAGTTGCAGCTATCAATTTATTACCACAAATAGATTTGAGGATGGGCAAGACTATTGGAAGACTTTCAGAGGGAAACCACATGCAGAAGAATTAATATGATGCATCAAAAGTCTTAATCACACTCAAGTCCATACAACCTGATCATTTCACAAACCAATAGTAACAAAGAATGCAGAACAGCAGAGAAAGTAGATGCGCTCTTACCTGTTTGGCTATAGCTGAAAATTTCATTACATGTAGTGTTTCATCATATGTGGAAGCACGCTGATTGATGTTTACAATCATACAAGCTTTGCCTTTTCCACAAAAGAATGGCTGAAACAGACGCGTCAATTTGCTCTCTCTGAATGGAATATAGCTTGGCTTCATCCTCATGGAGAAAAGAATAATAAAATTGTGAAACAAAAAATAATTGTAAAATTGTGTGATACTGTAGCTTAGCTTAATTCCTTTTCTCTCTTTCAGGAAAGAGATCCAGCAGGATGCTCATATTTAAGCCTAAGCTATTTGACGAAGAGCAGGGTCTTCCTGGATCTCAAGCCCTCCAAACTGAAGTATTTAAAAGTAAATTAGTATAGTGTCTTCACCACGGCTCGCCGGTGTTACAAAGCAGACACTGGAACAAGCCGAAAGCTAATTACAGGGCATCTGTCAGCTGTCAGATTAATCTACCTGTATAATTTGGAGGTAGAAGGGAAGAGGACAAAACAGGAGCTCTGAACACAAAGTGTATTGCTCACACACACACTGAAGGCAGCTGCTAATTGCCCTTTTTTAATCTCCACAAACAACAGTTCTAGAGAAAAAAATGTTCATTTCAGATATTCCAGTGACATGTGTAATAAAGAAGGCTTACAAAATTTAATAGATTTCCATTTTCCTCTGGCCATGCAAAACCCTTGCAGAAACAAAGGGATGCTTAGGTTTTCAACCAAAAACTTGGCAAGTTGTTTACAACTTGTCACTTACTTTGGATTTTGATTTTGCTTCAATGCTGCAATGCATTTTCCAAGGATATGGAGAGAATTATTAATATTTCCTGCTTCTTTTAGTCTGTCTCCAAAGGCTTGTGTTTTATTACACCTCTCTGATCCAGCCAAGTCACAGAAAGACAACCTGCATGAAAGAATTATCCTGAACACACAAACTTGTTTCTAAACAGTATGAAAACAGAACTGCATGTCTTTTTATTTCTTTATGTGTCTAAAGTGTAAATGAGTGACTCATTTCAGCCTACCTAGATCACAGAATAAGTTGTACTTTAATATTGATGTTTTGTCCAGAAAGCACTATGCAAGGTATTTAGGATAACAGCACTAACCTATCTATCTTCCCATTGTATATACAGATATTTGAACAAGATTGTTGCTCTTAAAGACAGTCTATTCAGCATATTTGAAGAAGTCTGCTTGTAGCATTCATTTAAAACTTTGTAGGCATTCTTACGTAAAGAATTCAGTTTGGGAACCCAAATTTTATTGCAATCCTGAAGTACCTCCAGAGAAGGTAAGAGAAATCTCTGAACAGTTTTGCATAGCGGGGCTATACTACAGAAGTACTTTGACCATCACCTTCAGCAGTTGCACTGAGAGGATTGCAGGATAGTAGTACACTTCAATACACTGCAGTCTGCCTCTTTTGTATGCAGAGCCATGTGTTCGTTATTGCAACTAAGAGGCCAGAAGTCCTTCCCAGATCACCTTAAAGCTCTTTATTTGGCTATAGCAATTATGTGCTACTAAACTCAGGCCACTGAGTTGTCCCTCATGGTACAACAGGTTACAGAGACAGTTATCCTGGATAATCAGGGAATTTCACCACTTTTACTTTACATTAAGAAAGCCCTCGAAATACAGGAAGCTCTGGAAGTTAGATCATTTATGCAACCCAACTATTACTCACTTATACATACATTTATTTACATAAAATAACACCTTTGTAAGATCATAGCCTTTCACACAGCTGAAAAATACATATTAACACTATACACATTAATAAGGCACATATTTCAACTGTGTGAAAGGCTATGATCTCATGATCTTTATCCTTTTTAATAAAAGTTGAAGGGCTTTTTTCTTCCTTAAGCAGCATACAAACTCTGTCATTCATTTAAGCGCTGCTACAAGCTTTGCCAGGGGAACACACCAAGACAGGGAACAGCAAGGAATACGGATGCAGTAATTTCCTCAAGTTATCTTTCCTTAGAGTATTTATCACCATAACATCTGACATTGAAAGATGTTATCTCAGTGAGGTGTATTTATTACTAACTCTGCTCAGCAGAGACACAAGAGAAATCAGTAGGATCTAGGACTGAATTAGAACACTATTACAGGACTGTCCTCATTTTTCAATATCAAGCCAAATGGACAATTTATCAAGAAAAAAATGAAAAAGCTCTTTAAGTGGCTTAAAACCAAAACATTAGGCCACTTCCTCTAAGTCATGAAAGAACAGAGATGTGTAAGGACTTCCCACTGCTCTTACTGGGTGCACCCACATTAACATTTTAGATCAGGGAACTGTTTTTAAGCAAATCACCTGATGATCCACTCTTACTGTAGATTGTACCATGGAGCAGTCCCAGAGCATGTCACTTGCATTCTTTTTGGATGATAGACTCAAATTTAGGTTCCAGGACCACAAACATTGAACTCAAACTCTAGTCTGGTCCCAAAGTAGAAAGATACACTGGCATAGCTTGCACCTTGGGTCTTCAGCACTAACTGCTGCACTTCAATTTTAGAGACTGGCTTCTATTAGCCAGTCTGCTTACCAGAATATATAGTGTGGTATTACATAGCACAACTCTGTCCCCACCTCATCATCATGGAAGACAATATACATATATTTCCCTCAATTTATGTACCACTGACAGTGTTTTAACAGGCTCCTTCAGCCAAACCTTAACAGAATAAGAGACAAGGAAACACTCCTATGCCTGTCCCTATCAGTGGAGTGCAGCCAGTGGAGTTGATTTCCTTCTCAGCTCTCAAAGGATTTGTTTATTAAAAGAAAGTTCACCAGTTTAGCATGCTTACACCTTATCAACTTTTCTAAAATATTTACATTCCGGTAATCAGCTGAAGCATTCACTTACTCTGAAACTCCAAGAACACACGGCTGATGCTCATCAGTTAGCCTTAGTAGCCTGATTGAAAATATACTGTGACTGGAATGGAAAGAAGTCCTTTTTAATAACCACAATCATGAAAATTAAGCAGTCACTGAAGCAAAATAAAGTTTGTATGCTACATAAAGTGCAGTGCTGAAGAAAGAACAAGAATTCATTCACTAATTTACATTAGTTACCTTTGTAATGCATTCATTCAGCAGCAAAAAGCAGCAATAAAAGTTGCATTTTGTGACTTTCCATTTCTTTCAATATAGGAAAGGAAAAAATACCACATGCAGCCTACAAGATACCTTGGAGAATGAACAAGGCAGTTCACTTCAGTCTGCTGATCAGAAGATGAGTACTCAGGTACTCATAGTATACAAACTTTAGACAGTATCTGAACTCAGTAAATCTAAAGAATTAACTTCTTCAGAATAAATAGGTGAGGGGAGAGGAGACTAAGTTAAGTTTAGGCAATATTACAGGACTGCCAACTTCAACATACACAGTTATTTGTTCAGTTTTGAAATTACTGTTTTCTAGAAAGGTTGAATTTGTAACACCGGAAAATCCAGTTATTGCATTTTGGACATCAAGCTACAAGGGCAGTGGACATATATTATCTGAAACCAAAGAGAAAAATCCCAGAACCAGAATTGCCCTGTCCCCAATTTATCCAGTAAATCAGGAAGCACATAATACAAACTGCTCTAGTACAGATTTAAAACAGTGCTTTACTCCTCAGCACCACACCACAATTTAAGAATGCAGTTTCCAAAAAAAAAAAAAAAAACAAACCCCAAAACCAAAGCCATACAAAAACACAATTTAGAAACAAGCTAAGTAGAAGTCAGCATATTCTGTGGAGCAAAAAGAGGACATTCTAGGCACAAAAATCTGTCAGAAAAAAAACACAGTTCTTTTCTGCGCTACTTTTGGTTTGAGTGAAATTCAGGTGGAATCATACCATGAAATTTAATGGCAGCTGTCTTTAGCTAATACAGAACAGCACAGCTCTTGCTTTTTACAGAAAAAGCAGGCTTAGTAACACTTTGATTAGTTAAATATACAACATGGCCCTTCCACACTTAAAGGAAAAAATTAATAAGAGGAGATTAAAATCAAAAAGGCATTCTCAACAGAAAGTACATGACCTTATCTATTTATTTCCTCCCACTCCGTCAAACCAGATTCTCCTTGATCCATCTCCCAGAGCTGGGTAAGAGTTAGGGGCTTAATTCTGAAGATACCAAGTAAGCTCAGCTAGAACACAGCAATCTAAAAGCATCTAGATAATCTAGCAGCACTGAAAGGTACTGCATGACTCGCTCCTTCCTACATCTCCTACCAACAGACTTCAGGTTTCCAAGAATTATACTGCCAGTGATGAAGAATTATCCAGCTTTCTTTTTTTTTCCCAACATCCTCACACAGCCATTCCCACTCAGCACCATTTGCATTTTCCAAGACATATAGCCCTGTTGGCACTCAAAAATGAATGTGATTTGATCTTTTTGCTTGTCCAAAGTCATGAATAGCAACCAAAGTCCAGCTACGATTAAAGTCACAGGGCGTCTCCTAGCTTTCTTCCAGAAAGAGTTTCATAATAAAACCAGAATAACCAAGGAAAGTCTTAAGCTATTATTGAAGAGTGGCTCATTTCAAACATATTCTAAAGTCTTCTCCTCCCTTCCCCTCCTCCCTCCCCTTAAAAGAAAAGAGAGATTATGCTTATAATTAGAGGAACAAACCTCCTACTTGATTGCTCATTCATTCTAGTACAAGCAAAGCTTCGGTTCTTGTTTCCTATTTTCAGTATTTTGCAGGCTTCTTCAGTACTCTGAATGTTAATCCACTTTAAGTCTGTGAAAAGAGACCTTTTACATACACTTCTGATCAAAGAAATTCTGTGAAACTGCCAAGATCATAAAACAGTATTATTACCTTTAATATAAGAATTTCCTCCTTGATCCTCACAAATTCTTAAGACTCTGCGCTTCTGAGTTTTTGATGTAGATAATACATTTAATAGGTCATACACATATTCATTATAAATTTCACAAAAGGAAATCCACACAGATGCTTGTGTTCTTTGGTGTATGTTAATCCTATATATGTCAAGTGGAACAAAGTTGTTCTCTGCTAACTCAAAACAGAGAAAGAGTTCAATGATCAAACAATTCATTGATAAATTTTAATTGCAGTATATAGAACCTTCTAAAAGGAAGAGACTTGTATATATCTGTGTTGTACAATGAGATACACAGTACTGTATAGCTTTGAGTTTACTAAAGAATGTTCAAACTTCACAGCAGTCACTTGTAACCAGAACATGCCCAAATTCCAAGCTCTTGCCCACCTCTACCACAAGCTTCCAGCAGCTTCTATGTTAGCTTTGCAGAACTAAGCCTCCCTCTTCCCCCAAAAGGGGTAAAGCTATCAAAATGTTGATAGTTTTAACCACTTAACCATTAAAATTTGGTTAAAAACTATATATATTTACTTAGTATAGTACAGAGATTTTTGTTTAATCCACCAATAATTACCCACTTATATTCCTAAATTTCTATTCTTTCTTCCCCACAAATTTCTTCCACTTTATTTTACCTAGTGAATCAGAAGGAAGACCCTTTGAAGCACAGTTGGAAGAAGCCGACTCCACATTAGACATATTTGTAATAGTATTTGAGATGCTTTCTGTCTCCTTGAGAAAATAAGAGACCATTACATCCACATGAACAGACTATGAGAACAGTAGAAGTAAAAAAATGACAGTAATTCCAGCATTTAAGATTTAAATATTGCAGTAATAGTAAGCATTAAGGCCCCTTTACTCTAGCTGCAAATGAAATGTTTTTAACAATACTGAACTAAAAATCAATAAATGCTCTTTCCCTCACAAGAATTATTGCTCTACTACTACCAGCAGCCTGTTTTGGAGGCCACTTGCTGCTAACATAAGAGACTTACTTTACAGTTTTGGGAGAATCAAGATCCTGTCAGACCACAACAGCTCAGAATGCCTTTATGAACTACTGGACAAATCTGAACAGTATTTCAGTCACCCAAAAGAACTGAAAAAGTAAGAGTTTCTTTCAGGGGCAGGTGGCAGGGTGGTGGACAGAGACTAAAGGAGCAGAGATTCCTAATTTGCTTGCTTGTTGCTAACCACAGGCTTGTGCCAGGTCTGTGAGAGTTTGAGTCAAACTTACTTTAGACCTCAGAGTGAAACGAGAGCTTCATAAAGGAGTTAAAGACCTGATAAACCAACAGTTTATGTTGGTTTAATTCAGACTGAATTAAAAGGCCATTAAAAATCCTGTATAGATAACAGCACAGTTTCTTTAAACACACATTTGCTGAATTTCTTTCCATCAATAAAATTATTTAAAGCCTGCCACGACTTGTCAAAGCATAGGCTTCAAATTACCACTAGGAAAACTGGTGTAATTAAGTAGCAACTCCCACTATTTAGAGATTCCAACATCTCCACGTACTACCTCCCTCCCCATATTTTATACACTACGATAACTTTTCATTAGGACATTTCACCCTGATTTCCCAAAACCCAACCCTGATAGAGGGTCATCCTACAGTAGAAGGGAGGGAACAAAATCAAAGAGGTAAACCTTAATGTTCTAGCTATTAGAATGCAGTGCTAACTTCATTATGGATTGTCTACTGATACCTATATATATATCCCAAACAGAATTTTTACAAACAGAAGAGTATGAAGCCATACTTTCAGGTCTTCCATTTTAAAGATAAATAGCATATTATTTTGTTGTCATTTATTTTATAAATGACCATTTTTCAAAGACTGTACTGTCTATATATTTATGTTGCTTGAGTAGTTACAAGTATAAGCACAAGCATGGATTCTATTCATTCTGTTTGTAAAGTACAAAGCAGAATTCTAAAGCAGGGTAAGGAACTGATACGTATGGCACATCTATGCATGTCAAAAATATAATGGAATGTGAAAAACCACACTACTTGTGCATGTGTTAAGTTTTTGTAAAGGTATTTCAACAAAACTGAGTGAATTAGCTATGTTGCTATACTGTTCTTCAAATCATAATACCAAATACAGAAGAGAACATGAAGATGACCGCCTGAAAACAAGTGGGAACAGGAATTGACGTTGTTTGCCAGCGACAGAAGCTGACCTTCAATAGCAAATACAAGGACAGGTGGGAATAGGAATGCAAGTAAAGCAGCTTTTAATCCAGTAAAAACCAGTATTTAATCCAGTGAATAGAACAAGTAAAGAGAAGGAAAGAGGGTGTGAACCATGCCAAGCAAGAGTTTTTGCAGCAGTACTGTATAGAGAACATAAACAGTAGAACATTAAATACAAGGGTATTGCAGCAACTCAGAGCAGTTCAAACTGCGAGAATGAAAGGAACAGCAGGCTCTTTCTGCATGACATGTAAAGCAAGCCTGTGAAAAGGGCCTACAGAAATCCATGTAAACCAAAACCAAGCCCACCAAACCGTATCTGTTCTCAGATTACAAGCTTGAGTGAACATCTGAACAGTGATGCTATTCACAAGCTATCAAGCAGCACAGCTTCAGTACTGGGAGTTGCTTCCCATAGTGACAGCTCAGCTTCGTAACACATAAGCAAGGTCTTGTCATGTATTATTTTCTAGATGCATTTTTACCTTTCCGTCCTGATGGTGGAGTCTTGCTTGCTTGCTTTTCACTGTAATGCAGCAGCATCTAGATCACCTACTGCAACATTCAGTAACTAAACTATTAGTAAAGTCAGACTGTGGTTTAACAGAAAGGAATATTTGTAAAGTGTAGAGTTATCTTCAAAATAAGATATTTGACCTCTTCTAGACTCTCAGCTCCTGCTTGGTCTTTCTTGCAAGTTTATAGGTTCCATAAAGTTTCTAAAAATATTTACCTACTATCCTCCTGACCATCTCATTTTTTCTTTAAGACCTTCAACCCCTGCGCATACACATAGTGTAAGTGAGTTTTTAAGATACTCTCAAAATAAATATGTAACCTTTAGCATCTTTTAGATTTTTCGTCTGAGATCTTTCCTCAAAAGTTAACCAGACTCAGACTAAACTAAAAGTTCTGTTTGCAGAGTTTAAATTAAACAATAGAATTCAGAGTGGAAATTTACATATGCATTTGATTCATAGAAGGATATTCTTTCAGAGCTAACTGGAGTACTTTAATAACATTGGTATTAAACACCACAGAAAAAAAGAAAACCCAGCCAATCATTACTTCTATACTTCCCAGAATTCATTCAGAGTCACTTTGAATGATAATCTCAAAATGCAGTAGGCTCACAGTTCAGGTTAAAAATGTTCTGAACATATGGAAACAAAGCCAGAAATTTGGGAAATTCATCTTGTGGCATCTCACTCCACTTGCTGTATCAGAAAAGTTTCTTTATGAAGTTACATAAATCACAGGTTTACCAACTTTTTATACTTAATTATATCTTCCACCAAAAGGGATTCTGCTGCCTTTGCTGCCCCTGCTAAGACACTGCCATCATCTCTCCTAAGCTAGTACTGGAATTTGAGCAACTGCCCAGAGATCCATCCCGGGAAACCAACCCAAAGGAAGATTCACTTAAGAAGCAGGTTCTAGATAGGTCAGCTCTCAGACACTTTTCAAGGGCTACTGTCACCACAGTGTCAGAACTGCTCCTCTGTGGAAATCCAAAACCAGCCAGCTGCCACCTTATTCCAAGGTTCACCAAGTATCCATACTGTACATTGAGATAAGTCTAAAGAATCAATAATGACAGAGATTTTATTAAAGACAGTCTGTTAGACAGGAAGTTTTTAAGAAGCTTCATTCAATAACAAGGAGGTATTTGGTCACTGACCTCTTTCAGTGATGCAAGAATAGCAGTTTTTATGGCTTCTTCTTGCTTGACTTGTGCATCTTCTAGTTTTTTAACATTGTTGCTCAAATAGGGTTTGAAGTTCATCTTCAGGTAATGTCTTCCCTTTATGTGGTTAAAAATCACATCAAGTGAGCGAGGTAAAATACCAAAATCTTTTGAAGTCCCTTAAAAATAACAAAAGATAAGGTGTAGACATCCATACAAACTTCTCATTGGATTTTTGACTTGGTTGTTAAATATGCTTTTTTGGCAAACATTTTATACCTTGGATAGTGAATGTCTTGCCTGCATTTGTAACCCCGTAAGTAAACACCAGTCCATTCACTCCATTAACATATGCTCTTACTATCTCTTTCATTGAGCCTTCAAAAAATTCACTCTGAGTAGTTTCTGGTCCAAAGACCTTGGAGAAGGGGAAAAAAAAAAGAAAAAAAGGAGTTACAAATGGCACAACGCAGTTTACTATATCAAAATATTAGACACTGATTAATAGTGACTAGTTTTTCAGAGCAAGTTGAATAGAAGATACTAGCTTAGTTTTCTGTCTTGCCTGAACCCCTTCTGATTCAATGTTTTCTGTCAGGTTTTCATAGGATGCCTGCTTAATTCTGAGCAGCACTCGGGCTTGCACTTATTTTTTAATATTTTCCTACTCCTAAGATAAACTACTCAGAATGCTACTGACCACATACTGCTTAGTGGATACTTTCAAGAGCTCTGCTGGTGATGCACAGCTCTGTCCTCACTCTGTACCATTCACCCACAACTGATGAGAAGATCAGCATTATAATGGTCTAAATGACTCAATGCCTGAAGTGGTTTCTGTTTTGATACTGTAAGAACAGAAGTTCTTGCAGTAGGTAACAGAGTTAAGAAACTTTCAGTATAGAAAGTTTAAGCAATTCGGCTGCTATTCTTTCAAAAGAAAGTCCCTAAGCCCATGCTTACATAGGTCCCTTTAAACAGGTGATTTCCTGTAACACTTTCCAGATGAGGGCATCTGCAGGAACAGCAGAACCATTCTAAGTTTGTACCTACAAGAAGCTTCTGTGGATTCTAATAAAAAATAAATAAAAACCCTAAAACCGAGCTACCAAAGAAGTTTCCTTGTCTCACCTAACAGGCACCTCCATTGTAATACAGCTTTCTTGACAGCCTAACAGTAAACAATAAGCAGTCTGGGTTTTTTCAGGCAAGTACCACCACACGCAATTCAAAGAAGAAAAATCACATTGCATGATATAATAGAAAAATAAATTTTATCATTACAGTGGAAAAAACCCACAAACTTTAACTAAAAATTAGAAAAAAAGTTTGCCTACCTGAGAAAAGGTGAACCTGTGCACAGAATGACCAATCCCTCTTTCACTGTTTTTCATTGCAGAAGACTCTTTGGGTGCATTGAGAATTACTGTCTGGGGATCTTCAATAGTTACACAACCCTTAAAAAACAAGACAAGGTAAACCAAAACACTACACAAAAGTATTTAGGAAAAAAGCTATCTAAAAAACCTCAACAACCCAAACCCTAGTGTTTTCATCTATTTACCAGAGCTACAAAGAGTTGCAAAATTTACATGTAATCTCTCTTGAGGCTTGTAACAACTACAGCAATAGCCACTTCACATGAAAGTCACAAAGTTAAGGCAACCATCTGGAGCTTTCTAAGAGGTTTAAAATTTTTCTAGGATTCCTTCCAGCTTTTTTTTTTTTAAAAAACACTTTCTAACCCCTGGTATTTTGTGATTGCAGCTTGCACAATCCTAGCCTTGAAAACAAAGCTATATAGAAATCTAATGTGTTTCCACATCAATTGTTTTCAACGTGAAACAAGCTATGATCAGCATAAATAAAGTAAAATAAGTTTGAAGCATTATCCTTTGATTGATAGATGGTGTTATCAGTCATGAAGGAAACTGAATTAGTTTCAAGTAATTTGATTGCTATTTCTCAATTAAGTAAAGGCAAGATACAATTACCTAGCACTCACTAACTAGATGATAGACGTGGCATGCAGTATCACAGGAAAATTTATTTTACACCAGACAGGCTACCAAAAATACAGACTGAACTACTAGTTCAGTTCACAGTGTCTTGAAGCATCAGCCCCAAGGATTGATTGTAACTAAATCTGACATTTATGTTAAGAGGCTGGCCAGAGCTGGTAAGACTAATAATCCATATATAGCACATACATAGGAAATACTGCTCTTCCTAGGAGTCTCAATTAATGAGTCTATTTATCAACTGGTATAGAAACTCTAAGAAACTGGGTACTGAACTTGCTCACTGTGCCAGGCTCTAAACCCATATACTCTTTAATATTCCTCCCACATTGTGAGGAACAGGAATGCTGGTCAGATTTGCTAAATCCTAGGGAGCTAGAGAAGAATCCAACATCTGCAGCATGCACCATCAGCTGTCACCGGCCTCATAGAAGCTCGTGAGTTGAGGTCTTGAAGCCATCAGATATGCAGAGCTGGAAACCAGTCAGTAACACGTCACTCTCATTGCCTTCCCCCGGCTAACCTTGCAGTTAAGTTCGCTGGAGTTCGGGCATTTCTGGCTCTGTACACATCACTTCTGTCTGAAGAACACCACTGCCTGCTCTCCAGCAGGTGTCTCCAGAGACTCACTGGCAGTTGTACCAAGAGTACAGAATTTCATCCAGAGCTCTTAAGCTTTACTTACATAAATCATTATCTCTATTAGCAACAACAGATCAGTTAACCTGTTGACTGTCTCTTTTTAAAGCACCAGTCTACAGCTGTAAGAAATAGGGCTTGGGTTCTACTTTTTTGTTTTCTTGTTGCATATTTGCAACAAAGATGCTTTCCTGAAAATTATGCATGGTAGGGAGGAAAAAAGGACCTAAAAATAAGTTGATCTCTCATTGATTATAGAGATGGGAAGGGGATTTTGTTTGTTGGTTGGGGGGGGGGGTATTATTATTTTATTTGTTAACAAGCATTTTCCTTGTGAATTCAGGTGATAGTTAAGAGTATCAGTAGTAGAACATATTGAAGATGTTGAAGGTCTGTCAAGCATTCATCATTTTCGGAGGCTGAGGAAAAAGCCTCTGTACCATGCAAAACAGGTACTACAGCTAACACGTTGGAATATCAACTACAGCACCATGAACTACAAGACCTTAAAAAAAAATCTAGTACAAACTTCAACACCTACTTTTTTCTTCCCTCCCTGCTTTTAAGAACAAGTAGTCTCACTAATGGTCAGGTCATCAGAAATTTCCCATTCCAAAGAGGAGTAAGAGATAAACAACTCTTAAAACAATTGGATTTTGTAAATCAATTTACCCTTACAGACAACTCAGATTGCTGAATAATACCAAACTGGAAACACTGTGGCAGTGCTTACTACTCAACAAGAACTGCCTAAGGAAATTTGAACTGGAGTTGAGTGAAAAAAAAAAAAATAATCAGAGTAAAAAAAAATACAAAGGTTTCAACTCTGACAGAACAAATGCAAGAATACATTTTTTTAAAAAAGCAAATCACAAGAAGCAAATCAGAACTAATATTAAATCCCTCTCTGAATAGATCATGAACAAGAGGTCTATCAGAGAGACTGTGAGACCCTGCACACGTGAGGGCTGAGAGAGACACTGCAGAGACTTTGTCCTCCAAGGACAGCTACATTAATTCTTTGCATCAGTGTTCACAATAGTGGTGGGGAAAGCAGAGTAATTCTGTGTGTTTGCATGTGTACATGTGTAAAACACCGAAGCATCTGAATCTGACAGTATGAACTGTAGGGGTTACAGAAAGATTTGACAGGAAGAGCAGCAAGTCACCAAGACCAGGTGGTAGATTATTCAGGCATTCCAGAGAAACTCAAGGGTCAGATACCTGAATTACTCATTGAAGTGCACAATTTCTTACATGGAACTCCTTTGTTTCTTGAGCACTGTACAAAGTCAAGAGGGACATCACCTTTTAAATAATATACCCAGCAGAATTTTGCAGAACTACGGGTGTGCATGTCTGTACCAGGCAAATTAGTAAAAGTTATGATTAAAAAAGTCACATTTATCCACATTTGCCCACTAATTATGTTTGGAAGCACTACACAGCTTTTATAGAAGAAAGTCTTGGTTTATAGTACTAGGCATTCTTTACAGGAGAATAAGAAACTTAATTCTACAACTAACCTGAGATTCATGGTTTTCAAACTCTGCTACAGAAAAGGGTCTCACTCTCAAGAATACTTTCAAAGGTTGATATACCTATTCATTAAAAAAAAATAGTTATAATGGCCACTTTTTAAAAAGAACACCCCCAAATCATATCAGCATACATCTCTGATGCAGTATTTGCTATTTTATCTTACTCTCACTTTCCCCTTCCTTGTAAATTTCAGACCTTAAGCTTTCATTCGCTTCTTTACCTCTTAATGTCCTCAAGTAACCCGTTTTTTGTTCTCCCCTCTTAGTGTTCTTTTATGATAAAGCCAAGATTTTGATTTTTAAAGAGCACACTATTGGATGCATAAACTGCACTGCTTCCACCTTCTGGTCTCCATCTGTACTGAATTCAAGCTGTATTTTCTAACAGCTGCTCTGCAGTTCTGCACTTCCATTTTGTATGGAGCATGTTCAATTAAAAGACTGATGCATTCTTAACCTCAAGAGACCGCTTCATGACCACCATCCAGGCACTAGCCCCTCATCTTCCTCACAGTAGCAACCATGAAGCAGTTCTCAGTTGCTAAGGTGGGCTTTTCCATCCTGTACCATTATACAAAGGTCTCCCCAACCAGGTGAAGCAGTAACAGCAGGGAGATTTTTAGAGGGATCCCAGCATTCCTTCCTTTTGCACAGAGCTTCAAAGTCCCTACTTCAGCAATTTGTTCATTCAGCAGATGCATTTACCAGAGCTCTCCACAGCCCTCTCATGACTAGCACTCCATGAATCACAAAAAATTAAGTCACCTGAGGGAAGACAATCAGGAAACCTACCATTCTAAAAAAGCAGAGGGCTGTACTATCTTCAAAAGTGTACTGCAGCACAGCATTACAGGTTTTTATTTCCAAGCACCTAGCAAGCTTCCAAAAAAGGATCTATATCCTTTTTTTAGCTTACTAAAAAGAACAGTACAGGCTCATTATATTTGAGGTGTAATTACTGAAGTCCTTCCTTTTCAAAAGCTTAACACATCACGTAGTATTGACTATCTGCATTTGCTACTGGCTATTATCTATTTGTAAGCAGAAGAATCAAACATATCTTGGGGGCAGGGGAATACAGCAGTATTTGCCAGAATTAAAGCTTAAAAAAAAACCCCAAACATAATCAGAAGACATATTACAAAACCAATCCACACCTCCTGTTCCTCTGTATTAGGCAATACTGTTGACTCCATAGGTGAGGGTTTATCCGCTATGTTCAGAAAAGAAACTGTTTCCAATATATCAGATACTTCTGCAGAAACATAGTTTTTCCCCTCATCATCCATTGTTCTGTGCAAAGGAACTTGTGAAGGACAAAAAAAAATTCCATCATTTTCTCACAGAACAGGCAAAAATACACAGAGAGCAAAATAGCAATCAGGGTAGCTTGCATATAAACAAACACTACTGAAGAAAATAAGGTCCTCTAAAGAAGTTTGGGGAGCATGAAGGAACCTTAAAAAGACCAACTTGACAGTTGAGTTATGGTCAGAACCATGCAAGTGGAAGCATACTGACTGCCTCTGCTGGGCATTACTCCATGCGCTGGGCCACTGCCTGTACCCCCCACCCCTGAAAGGCTCAACACCCCCCACGCCTCAGGAACTCGGCCGTCGGGCCTAGGCCCGCACTCCCAGCCTTCAGCCCCGAGGCCACCGTGTTTTGGAGCCGACGAGCCGTCGGTTCAGGGAAGGCCCCGTTCACACAGAGGAAAGGGACGGCCTCGGGGGAACCGGGCAGGCATCGCCAGGCAGGCGCACCCTCCTCAGCACAAGGGCCGCTGCCCACCGTTGAAG